AGGGCCTGTCATCTCAAGAAGGCTTCCCAGGCAGAGCAGGCAACCTCCCTGCCTTTTAAGGACAAGCTCTGTCTCCCCAGGGCCGGGGGAGCCCCAAGGCGGCTGCATTCTTCTCCCTCCCCAGGGACCCGGCTGGGCCAGGAGTGAGCCCTGGGCTTCTCAGCGGCCGGTTCCCAGGCCAGGGGGCAAGCCTGGCCTGGGCGGAGTTGGCTCTGCTGGGTGTTCCTGGGGGCGCTGTCCTGTTTGTGTCTTGCCACTGGGTTCCCAGGGGGTCATTGCCCTCTCCCTTCCTGTGCGCCAGGACCCGTGGGCAGATTTTCAGTACAGCCTCCTGGGCCTGCCTGGCCATGACAGGCAGAACCATGATGGCACATTGAGAGAGTCCACAGGTCCTGCCAGCCCTTGGATGGGCACCTCCTTGTGGAGACCACTTTATCCAGGATTCTGCCCCGTCAGGCCTGGCTGGGGCAGTGGGCAGTGGGCAGTGGCACGGTCCACACAAGCTGTGAGGGGGAGATTCCATGAGGGACTCTGCTCGGAGGTCTACTCAGCGGGTCGACTGTCCTTCTCCTTCCTTTCACTTCCGGAAATTAAGGGCTTTTTGCCCCCAGCGTTTGGGTAGAAGGAGTTTGTCCCATTTTGTAGATGGGGAAAACTGAGGCATGGGATTTGAGTGGTCAGAGGAAAGAAACAGAATGGCCGGGGGAGTCCCTCTCTTGTCACCCCAGATGTCAGGATGACAGGGTGTGCACCCTCCTTGCTCACAGCTGTCCCCTGCTCCTGCCACTGGAGCTGTGAGGGTGACCGGTGGAGTCCCTGGCTTGCCCTGCTCTCCCTGGCACCTCACCACCCTGCACCTGATCCTCCTGAGGGAGAGATTCCTTATCCTGCCTCTGGATGGGGAGACTGCCGTGTGGAGAGCTGGGTGACCTAGGGTTGCGTGTTTTATAAGGAATGCAGACTAGATACAGTTGGGCACCCCTGACACGCGGGGTGTGTGTGTACACATGTGCGCTCCGGGGTCCCTGCACTGCCTCCTGCATGCACAGACGGCCTGGCCTGTTCCCCTGACATCCCCCTAGCAGGGTAGGCGTCTCCTCCACAACATGTCTAAAGGGTCTCCTGGTTCCTGCTTGCACACCTTCAGAGACAGGTTGCCCACTCCCTCTAAAACCAAACCAGCCTGGCCCGTTCGGGGTAGCTGTGACTGTTGTCATTGACCTCTTCAGGTCTCAGCCCTGCCTGCTGGGGGCATGCAGGGCGGCTCCCTCTGCCCCTTTGAGATATGGAGGGTGACCCTGAGCCTTGTACTTTCCAGGCTATACAACCCCACTTTCAACTCACCCCACCCGTCGCTGGGAACATCCTCCCCATGCCAGTCAGATACGGCCTTTTGATAATCGCAGGTTTTGTTTTGGGGTCTCCTCCCTCCTTGAAATAATGGAGAATTTGCTAAACTTCTGTGTCACGAACCTTTTAAGAAAAAAAAGGATGGAGTTGAAAAACAGCCCGTGGGTTGGCTGGAAGGCTATCAGATAAGGCTGTGGCCCAGGAGCTGGGACAATGTCCCCTTGTTCCTACTCCCTGACCCGCACAATGAGCTGCTGTTGGGACCTGGCTGTATCTCCGGCAGCAGCTCTGTCCCTGCCCGTGCCCATGGTGTGCCCACGTTTCCTGGGTTCCTGGGCAAAGGGTGCCCCGCCCCAGCCAGCCCCGCTGGCTCTTCCTCCCAGGCCTGGAATGAGCGGGTCGCAGGAGCAGGCCTACTGGCTGTGGGCCCCTCTGCCCGTCGCCTGCGGGGAGGTGGTGGAAAGACGAGCCTCGTGCTGATGGTTAGTTTTGGACTCTGCTGAATGGGGTTGAAGTCGCAGGCAGCCGCTGGCCACCCGTGCCGGCTGCCACCTGGCCTTTCTGAGGTGTGGGACCTTGGTTCTGATGGGCTGTGGTGGGACAGGGGGGCTCAGCCACATGGCCTGGGTGGGAGCTCTTGTCCATCCGGAGGGACTAGGGACAGCATGGTGGTGGCAGCGTTTGGCTGGGGCTCTGAAAACTGAGAAGGGTTTTTGTGAGGCAGAGAAGGTTGGGGGAAGGTGGTACCGGGTTACTAAAGAGCATGGGCGTGGATCCCAGAGGGGGAGGAAGTCCAAGGCTGGTGAGGGACCAGCTGGGAGGGGCATCTCTCCAGGGTGTGGTGCGAGGGGAGGTAGGGTGGGGTGTTGCAGGGGGTTCAGCACCAGGTGAATGGAGGCTTGGTGACTGGATTGTCTGTAGGCCTTGGGGGATTGCAGACAGATGGGAGGGGCGCCATGTTGGGTAGAGGGGTCTAGCGGGAGGGTGCTGTGGTCTAGACAGAAGGTCAGTGGGGCCTGCTGTTCCCAGGTCCCAGACAAGGCAACGCTCAGTCACTTAGGGGTCTGGGGCAGGTCTCACTGCTCTGGCCTTGCTCTCCCGTGCGGGGCCTGGGGATCACGGCAGCACCCCTTCGGGGAGGTGTGAAGATGCCATTAAGCTCACAGGGAGCGGTCAGAGCCTGGCTCTCCACTATGCGGGAGCCGCCTGGCACCTGGAGTAGCCACTAGGCCTCTCTGGGCAGCATTGTCCCTGCTCCTCCTCCCAGTGAGCTTGGGTCTGCTCCACAGCTTCCCACTTGGAGAAACTGGGGAGATGGGGAAGGTCAGGGCTCCCAACTGCAGCCAGGGTGCCTTAGCCGTGAGGTTCCCACAGCCCTCTCTGTTCACCCAGGAACCTTCCCAGTGAGGCCTGGGCCAGCTGGGGCTTGTCTGTGGGGCAGAGTGGTGGGGAGGGAAAAGCAGGTTTTACAGCTCCGGGCTCCGGGCTCCGGGCTCCGGGCTCCGGGCTCCAGGCTCTGACCTCCCTGGGGTCTGGCCTGGGCCTGCTGGGCTCCTGGGCTGTAGAACCAGGGCCCTTGGTCTCCCTGGGCAGGCCCAGCCCACTGAACCGTGCCTCCCTTTCCTCTCCAGCCACCAGCCCCTCTGTCTGCACTTCACGGTCCCTACTCCATCCGCCCTGGCTCCCAGAATTCTTACCTGGCAGGGGTGTGTGGGCTGGGCCAGAAAGCAGCCTGATCTGACCTGCAGGCTGGGTTTTCAGCCCTGGATGGCAGGCCCCTGGGGCTGTGGGTCCCAGTCATTCCCAGGCTGGGTGACTTCCCCAGCCCCCGAGGCAGGTCTTCTCTTGCACTGAGTCATGCAGCCCCTTGAGGAAGGGAGGCCTGGAGTCTGCCCCGTGAGGTGGCGGCCCTGGGTGGGATCTCGCCGGAGGGGACGACAGACCCACCGTGACATTGGTCAGTGCTGCGATGGGGGAGCAGGGTAGAGGGCTCATCGAGGGCAGAAGCCTGTGGGCAGCTAGCACAAGGTGACGTGGGAGGCCACGGTGCATGTGTGTGAGCCACTGCTTCCCGGAAGGAGGCCACCGGAGGAGCAGAGGCACCCCAGCTGGGACGCAGTGGCCTCACCGAGAAGTTCCACGCATGGGCCCTGCAGAGGTTTGGGTTGTTTCTAACCTGATTTCAGCCCCTCTCAGCCTCTCTGTGGTCTGTCCACCCCCTGGAGCTTTCAGAAGTCCTGCCTCGGCATCAGTACGGCTCAAGTGATCTGAGTCCCGCTGTGCGCCAGCGTCATGCCAGGCTGGGGGAGCAGATGTAGGGGGATTGGCTGTCTCTTCGGTTGGGCTGTGGGGTCCCCAAGGACTGGGGTCCCCCTTCCAGCTCTGACTCCCATGCAGTGCCTAGCATAGGACTCCATGTCAGGGTGGGCTGTTTCCATGGTGATGTGGAGTTTGGGGTTGGAGGGCAGCCTCTGTCAGCCTTTGAGTCTGTCTGGGCAGGGCCCACCTGCTGGTCTCTGGACTCCTGAGCCCACACCTGGTCGACTCCACCTCCCTTACCTGAGCTGGTCGTGGAAGTAGGCCAGAGGGTATGTGCGTCCTGTGGGGAAGTGTGTGGTGACCCTGCGAGGCCTCACTGACGTGAGGGTAGGGAGAGAGGGATGGCCTGAGCCGGGACCACTGGAGCCAGGAGCTGGAAGGCAGAGGGACGGGGGCAGGAGCTCTGGGTGAGCGAAGCCCCGGGAGGACTCTAAGTTCCAGGGTCTGGGCCGTGGACATGACTAGGGCAAGCCCCGCTCGGCCTCCGCGCCGGAGGTAGTCTCGCCCGGCCCGGCGGGTTCTTGGGCTTCTCTGAGACCAGCTGTGGGAGGGGCTCTGGTGGGCACCGCTGTGTGTTGTTGGCTCTGGAAGGGGACCCGTGCCTCTCTGGTAGCCGCTTCCGAGCACTGGTGCCGGCGCCCGCCGAGGCTCAGAGAGGGTGAGCAGCGAGGCCGGGTCCATCTGGGCACAAGGTAGCATCCACGGCCTCTGCCCTTTGGACCCGTGTGGGCCCACTGACCCTGGCCTGGGCCCCCAGCCCCAGCGTGGGGACCCTGTCTGGGTTTCGGCATCTCGGGTGCTGTGCAGACTGCTGCATGCCCTCCATTTTGAGCCTCACTGCCTTCGTCTGTGAATGGGTGCAGCAGAGGTCCCTGCGGCTCTCCTGCCTCGAGCGGGCCGTGTGTGAGAAAGGGCTCTGTTGGCAGTGACATCCGGACGAGTGAGTGACTGCTCTGGTCTCGGATGGGGACCAGGGAGTAGAGTAGGAAGGCCTCCTGGGTGAGCCGAGCTTCTCCTGTGGGTCTGAGTCTGCTCAGGAGCCAGACCCTGCCCTCTCTCGTGCTCTCAGCTCCTGAGTGGTGGCCTCCTCCTCAGCACTTGCTCCCGTCGAGGCTGAACCAGTTACCCAGAGTCTGGCCGTGGGCAAAGGAACCGATGATGGGTCTTTGTGACTCCAGCACAGAAGCACCCCTCCCCCAAGTCTGCCTTAAGAGGGAAAGGACTGTGAGGTGGATAGGGCAGTGATTGCCTCCCACTGGGGGGTCTGGACGGGCTTCCGGGAGGAGAGGGCCAGGGCAGGACAGCCTGATATACCTGCCGTCCACCCCTAGGTCCCATCTGATGCCAAGGCTGAAGGAGTCTCGCTCCCACGAGTCCTTGCTCAGCCCCAGCAGCGCGGTGGAGGCGCTGGACCTCAGCATGGAGGAGGAGGTGGTCATCAAGCCCGTGCACAGCAGCATCCTGGGCCAGGACTACTGCTTCGAGGTGGGTCTCCTAGCCAGGCCAGGTCTCCAGACACCCTCCGGAGTGCTTGGTGGCCTCGGCTTTGGGAAAATGGCTGGGAGATGGGGGGCTTTGTTTCTTCTCTGTGGGCTCCTTGGAGACAGACCAGCACTGTTCCTCATGCTGGTGAGGGCAAGAGGCCCCGGTGGTAAAGGGAGTAAAAGCCCATGTAGAATTGCATAAGCCTCAGGGCCTGTGCCTGAAGCCTGATCACCCTCCTTAGAAACTCCCTAAATGCAGGGTGGGATGGTGGAGAGAACCCCTTCTTCTGGGCCAATCTCCTCCTTCTATAAAGAAATTGACTTTTTCTGCCCTAGCAACCTGTGACCCAGGGTTTAGGAGCAAGCAGAGTGCGGCAACCCAGCCTGGCAGGTTCTGCCTGGGGATCACCTGTCCAGTCCCTCACTGTGGATGGGGAATCTGAGGCCCAGGGAGGCAAGCTGTCAGAGGTCGCACAACAATGCTGAGGCCAAGCCAGGATAGGGGTAACAAATGTCACAGGTGTTCCGGGAGTTCCTGGTTGCTTCCCTCATTAGTCAGATTCTCTTCCCACCTCACCCCCCACTCCTACCCACACGGAGCTTGCATAATTAGGGGAGCTCTCTGAGAGGGGGATGAGCCTGGAAATGGAAACCAGCGACTAGTGTGGCGACCTGGTGGCAGCCTGGCCCAAGGAAAGAATGGGATATGCCTGGCATCTGCCCGGGGCCCATGTTTCTGATTCAAGACCCCTGGTGCAGTGGGGCTCCTTCTGGGCACTGGTCCACAGCAGGGGGTGCTGTGGCTCCTGCCAGCCCTTGTATGGCCGGATGAGGAGTCTGGTTCCCTTCTGTAGAGCCCTTGGCATCTGGGGACAGTGGGACAGATGAGGTGCCGCTTGGGCTGGACTCCCTCACCTAGAGGAGATGGGAGGCTGAGCATGAGTCCGACCTCAAGGTGAGGGGAGGGGAGAGGTTCCAGGCAGGAGGACCAGGGCCCAGGACACCCAGACAGCCCAGTTCTCATTTCTCCAGTCTAGCCCCCAGAATGTTAATTTTTGGTGACCATCATTGTTGTCACTTGGCAAAGACAACTGTCAGAAAGTGTCAGTGGAGGACTGAGGTGATCCTTGTGCCTGCCCATGGTTGTGTCCTTGGTGCCCGAGACTCCAAGAGGGAGGCCTGGGCTAAGCGTTGCCCTCTGACGCGGGCAGGCACCCCATGCCGACTTGCTTCCCGTCTTCGGGAGAGTGAGGTTAGAGTCAGAAGGATGCTTCTCTGGATGCTTCTCAGGACAGAGGGTGCTGAAGAAGGGTTGAGGATCCAGGTGGTGCAGGACTGGGCACCCTCTTGTCTGACTGGCTGCAGGACGGTGGTCACTGCACCACTGCAGATGTGACACACAGGCGTCGTTCTGAGCTGTTCCGCCTCCTATCTGAGGTTGTGCTGAAGACCTGTGGCTGACGTCCCCCAAGCCGCACAGGTCTTCTGTCCTGCCCGGCTGGCCGTGTTGCCCTCCCCCGTGACACTGTCCTGTCTGTCCCCCACAGGTGACAACGTCGTCAGGAAGCAAGTGCTTTTCCTGTCGGTCAGCAGCCGAGCGGGATAAGTGGATGGAGAACCTACGGCGAGCAGTGCACCCCAACAAGGTAGGCTGCCCAGAGCAGAGTGCAGACCCTGACATCAGGGAGCAGAGTGGGACCTCTGGTGTGGGCTGGGCTGGTCCTGAGTGGACAGTAGGGTTGGGCCCTGGAACAGGGGTTTGAGTTGGCCAGGCTGACTTAGGTGCTGTGCGCCTCTGCCCTCGAAGCTGCGCAGCGGAGGCTGGGTCAGGATGGCCAGAGAGCTGAGTGTATGCCGTAAGGCAGTTGGGTGCTGGTGTCCTACCTGGGTCTCTGGTCCCTCCTCCCCTGGCCGATTCCCACTCACCTATGCAATTCCAGCCTAGACGTCTGTCCGTCCTGTGGGTGAGCACCGCTGGCCCAGACTAGTGCTTGCTATGTGTTCCCGCTGCCCCTGGGCTTCCCCCATCAGGGTCGTGGGACCCCATCTCGGATCACCTGCTTCTGGGCTGAGTCCTGGTCACCATGACTTCACTCTGGAAGGGGCCTTAGCAGGTCACCTCTTCAGTGACTTTCAGACCAGCCCACTAGAAGACCTAATAAATAGCACAGTGGTCTACTATGTGCCAAGCACTGTGCTGACCTCTTACCTGATCTCTCACTGTTATTCCTCTTTTACAGAACAGGGAACAGATTCTTAGATTAAATCACTTGCTCAAGGTCAGGAGCTTGTTTGAGGCCAAGCAGAGACCCAGCCCTGAGGCTGTCAGACTCAAGCTGTCCCTGGCCCACTCCTACCCTGCCATTCCTGGGCTGTCCCCACCACCTTCCAGGGCCCTCTCAGGTCTGGGCTGGGTGGTGGGCAGGTGGCCGGCCCCTTGTGACCACGGTCCCCTTGTGCGTGTGGCAGGACAACAGCCGGCGTGTGGAGCACATCCTGAAGCTGTGGGTGATCGAGGCCAAGGACCTGCCGGCCAAGAAGAAGTACTTGTGCGAGCTGTGCCTGGACGACGTGCTCTACGCCCGCACCACGGGCAAGCTCAAGACGGACAATGTCTTCTGGGGCGAGCACTTTGAGTTCCACAACCTGCCGCCCTTGCGCACCGTCACCGTCCACCTATACCGGGAGACTGACAAGAAGAAGAAGAAGGAGCGCAACAGCTACCTGGGCCTGGTGAGCCTGCCCGCCGCCTCAGTGGCCGGGCGGCAGTTTGTGGAGAAGTGGTACCCGGTGGTGACGCCCAACCCCAAGGGCGGCAAGGGCCCCGGGCCCATGATCCGCATCAAGGCGCGCTACCAGACCATCACCATCCTGCCCATGGAGATGTACAAGGAGTTTGCCGAGCACATCACCAACCACTACCTGGGGCTGTGCGCGGCCCTCGAGCCCATCCTCAGCGCCAAGACCAAGGAGGAGATGGCGTCGGCCCTGGTGCACATCCTGCAGAGCACGGGCAAGGTGAAGGTGCGTGTGCCGCCAGACCGGCCCGCGCCCTGTGGAGAGGCCCGTGTCACACCGGGTCGCCTGCTGCTCCCCGTGTCCACGCCCTGGATTTCAGCCTTGTCGGGGGCACTGATCCCAGCCAGGGGGCCCCCTAAACGCAAGACTTGTGTCATGGAGCGAGGGGCTTCACGCTCCTCCCCCGATCGCCGCGGCAGGCGTGGAACTGATGGACGGATGACGACTTGTAGTGAGGGAGAGGAGTGGGTTTTAGGGGCCTCCCCAACCCCTCAGAGGCTGGTCCCTGAGGCTCAAGGAGAGGTCATGGGGCCAGCCTCCTCCAGCACAGGGGTCCCAGTGACCCAGCCACACATACACAGTGAGGTGTTGGAGTCGGCTGACATCCCCACCTGGTGACCAGCTGGGTACTGCCCCAGCCCTGCCCTGCCCCCGCTCGCACAGCCAGCCGGCCACGGCTGCCCCCCTCCCCAGCCTCGTGCCCGCAGAAACGGCTTGTCTAGAGCCGTGCTGGCAGCCCTCCAGGCAGCCCTCCTGAGGGCTGAGGGGCCCAGCTCTGTCCTCCCACTCCCTGCCTGGCCTCGCCTCCACCCCACCCACCTGGGTTTGGAGACAAGGCGGCTCCTTCAGGAAGGCTCCCTATCGTCTGCCTACCCAGCACAGTGGATCAAGGTCCTGTGGGCCTCTAAGCCCGACTTTCCCCTCTTCACCCTGCCCCTCCCTTGGGGGAAGCTGCCTGTAGGGGTGCAGTGGAGGAGGAGGATTGGACGTGGGGTCCATTCAAGTTGCAGAAGGCCCCGTGCTGGCCTCGGGAGCTGGCCATGGTGTAGTTTGAGAGGCGAGTGGCCTGTGTTGGCAGTGAGGGACGGCCCTGTGTCAGAGTCCCTCGGCCTCGATTTGGGGCCAACCCTCACGTACGTCTTCAGGGTGCATGAGTGTATCAGGGTCCCTGGCCTCTTACCTGTTCCCAGAACCCTGGAGAGGGGAGGCCGTGGCTGGAAGTCCGGGCCAGCTTGCTGCCCTCCAGGGCCCCACTACCAGAGTGAACTTCTCTGTGTGGGCACCTCGGTGGGGGGATCACTCGGCCTCCTGCATATTGTCGGGCCGCTGCCTTCCCCCGCCCCCAGCCTTCAGACCTGACTGTCCGTAACTCTGGTCTCCATGGGAGGGGTGCTGGGAAACTGAAAGGAGGAAGCCTGGCCCAGGCCGAGGGGGTGCAGGGCCCCGCCCGGCCCTTCTGCTGCAGTGTCTGCTCTCAGTGCCTGGGCCCAGGGCTGGGCTGGCCGCGGGCAGCTCCAGTCTGAAGTGACCTTTGCTCTTGGGGCTTCCGGGTCAGACATAGGATGAATAGAAGTGCTCATTGTGGAGGAAGGTGGAAGCCAGGCTCCAGGCTCCGCACAGTGGCCCTCTGTGAGGTGGGGGAGCAGTAGGCAGGAAGATAGAAGTAACTCATGCTGCTGGGGTGATGTGTGTGCAGGTGAGCTCCCCGTCTGTTCAGAGAACTTGGGGGTTGATGAGATGTTCTTGGTGAGGGTCGGAACAGTCCGGAGTCCCCCAGTCCAGAGGTGAAAGCCAGTGCAGCATCACAGCACCTCGCTGTCCCCCAGGGCCCCTCTGCGCTGCGGCTCTTCAGCCTTGACCCTGGGACTCCAGGGGCCTTCTCCCTGCCGCCCCTTCTCCCCTCGGTGCAGCAAGGGGAGCAGGGCCCAGGGAGCAGGAGACTTGGGCCAGATCTGCCCAGGTAGCTGTGTGGCCTTCCTCATCCCAGCCTGGGGGGAGCACCTGCTCCAGGAGTCGAGGCAGGTCTGTGGCACGAGAGCCTGGGGAGCCTGGGCCCTGCCTCCCACGTTCAGGGGAGACCCTAGAGGTCATCTGCAGGTCCGGGAGCAAGGGCTCCTCAGGTCACGTGGTCCCCAGAGGGCCAACCGCAGCCTGCGCCGTACAGTCAGAGGGAAGGAGTGGGCTCAGGCTGCCTCCCGGCGGCTCCCCACGACCCTGCCTCCGGGACGCACCGCGGCCCTCAGCAGTGAGGGACCGCTGCCCTGTTTGCCAGGTGAGCAGTGATGCCACCGGTGAAGCCAGGTCCGGCCTCTCGCCATCCGAGTAGTGGCTCGCTGCCTTCGGGGGCAGCCGGGGCTCTGCCTCTGTGCTCTCGGGACCACGCAGACGCGCCTGTTCCTGCCGTGGGAGACCCATCAGGCACTGATGGTGAGGGATGGGGGAGCTCTCTGGTCACCCAGCCAGGCCTGGTCAGGACTGAACAGGCATTTGAGCTCAGCTGGTCTGGCCGTGATGCAGGAAGCTTGTGTCCATGTCGTGCTCCTGCCCAGGCCCCTAGACCCAGCTGTGGTGTCCCCAGCGCTGGCTGGCATCTCCCCTCACCAGGCTGCCCTGTCCTCACTCCCCGCAGTCCCCGAGGGTTGACAAGGAAGCAGCTTTGAGAAGCAAGGGCTTCTCCTGGCTAAGCTCCTACCTGCCAGGCTTGCTCAGGTCCGCTCTTCTCACTGCCTCCTCCCCAGGACTTCCTGACGGACCTGATGATGTCAGAGGTGGACCGCTGTGGGGACAATGAGCACCTCATCTTCCGGGAAAACACACTGGCCACCAAGGCCATCGAGGAGTACCTCAAGTTGGTGGGCCAGAAGTACCTGCAGGATGCACTAGGTAGGGCGGGTCTGGGCCAGCAGGGCAGGGGGGGCAGACCTACCAGGTCCTCATGGCCCCTCCTGGCCCCTCCCATCACAGGCGAGTTCATCAAAGCGCTGTATGAGTCCGACGAGAACTGCGAAGTGGACCCCAGCAAGTGCTCGGCCGCTGACCTCCCCGAGCACCAGGGCAACCTCAAGATGTGCTGTGAACTGGCCTTCTGCAAGATCATCAACTCCTACTGGTCAGTGCTGCCCTTGGGCTCGCCCGTGTCGGGTGCCAGGCGCTGTGCCAGGCACGTGTGTGCGGTTCTCGTTCAGACACCTCTGTGAGGGGTCTCTGTTCCCTTGTGCCTGAACTTAGAGATGAGAGCTGAGGCTTCGTGAGAGGACAGTGACACCCGGTAGCCCCACACAGCTGCAGAGGGGGGCTGTGCCTGTGTCTAAATCTGTTTCCCGTACATGCTGGGAACACTGGGGCAGGTGGATCCCCCAGCCAGGACTGGGCACACGAGGGCCCGGGGTTGTTCGGCAGAGAGGCTGCTAGGTGAGCGACAGCCTTGGGAAGGGCCGAGGGGATGGCCAGAACCAGAGGGGTGGGTGCCCCCCTGTGCAGGTCCCTTTGTGCCTGGGCCAGCCTGCACAAGTGAGCCCTGGCACCAGGGCTGGAGGGGTGACCTGGGAGCCTTGAACTCTGGGAACACACTTCCCCCTGGGCCAGGCTGTGTTTTCACACTGCCCTGCTGTTCCCAGGGCGGGCCGGCTGTGGGACACAGGGAAACGTACCCGCGGACATCGTTTTCCATTTCCTCTTTCTGGTGTTTGTCAGAAACCCAGAGGCACCTCTCGGTTCTGGATGCCAGCTGTCCACGCCATCGCTCAGTGCCTGCCCTGCCCAGTCCTGCGCCAGGCACTGCCCTCCTTCCCGCTCTAGTGCTGGCTGGGCGTGGGGCTTGTTGAGCAAAATCATTCGGGGTTGATCCAGGCCTCGTGGGGGCCCTGCGAGCTCAGCAGGGCAGGCCTTGCTCCCGGTGAGGGTGAGGACCTAAGGGCCGGGAGGACCAGGCCCTTGCGGGGAGCTCCCGGAACCAGTGGCAGAGCCAGGCGCGGACGGGGTTCAGGGGGCACTGGGTCCTGGCCTGCCCCGGGAGGAAGCATATCTCCTAGGGTGAAAAGATAGAGAAGCCATTTAAAGGTTGGTGTGGGGGCCTCATGGCAGGTTGGGGTACCTGATGGAGAGAGCCTCACAGCTGGGGGCTAGGGGCCCTGTCGATGCTCATTGGGTCCCCCAAGGAAGCCCCTCCCTGTCTAGGAAGCGGAGGGCTGTATGTTCACCCTGTGAGTAGGATATTCCCGTCTTCCTGAAACTCAGCCCTCCTGAAGACCTCTGATTCCTGTAACATTACTGAGCGAAGGGAGTAAGTCTCCGAAGCCAGTGATGGGAACCAAGGAGCAGTGGTCGGTTCCTGCTTTCTCCTCACTCTGCCCTGGATCTAGACGCCCGCCGTTTGGGGAGGGGACAGGGGCCCAGGCCCGGAGCTGGCCCTTGCCACTGGTCCGGCTAGGACAGAGGCCTGGCTCCTCTGCTCTTGTGTCCCATCCCACTCGGCCCCTTCGTGGGCAGCCCGCCACCTGACTGAGCTTGTGGTGTCTGCCCTCCCGGCGCTGCCGCAGCTCCCCCAGCAGCCTGTCCCGTGGGTGATGGGTAGATGGGTGAACGATGGTGGGTGATGGTGGGTGATGGGCGGCAGGCCCAGCTCACAGCTGTCGGGGTTGGAGCTCAGGGCTCAGTCGGACCCAGAGCCGGGCCCCTGCTCTGCACGCTCCTGTTCTGGTGCCCTGCCTGATCACCAGGCCCACTCTTGTTTGTCGCTGCCCAGCGTCTTCCCCCGGGAGCTGAAGGAGGTGTTCGCCTCGTGGCGGCAAGAGTGCAGCAGCCGCGGCCGGCCGGACATCAGCGAGCGGCTCATCAGCGCCTCCCTGTTCCTGCGCTTCCTCTGCCCGGCCATCATGTCCCCCTCGCTCTTCAACCTGCTGCAGGAGTACCCCGATGACCGCACGGCCCGCACCCTCACCCTCATCGCCAAGGTTACTCAGAACCTGGCCAACTTTGCCAAGTGAGCGTAGAGGCCCCGGCAGGCAGCTTTGGGCTGGGGCAGAGGCCAGGGGCAGGCTGGGGTGCTCCTTCCCAGGGCTGCGCTGCACAGCGGGCCCTCCGTTGTCCCTGTCATGCTCAGTCCTCCCCACCAAAGGTACATGCCGTTTCGGTATGTTTCCTTAATTTTCAGAGGTGCGAAGACAAGATATTTTTTCCTTCAGCTTTTTTGAGTTAACATTTAATCACAAGGATTCTCCCATGTGCTTAACATTCACAAGCCTCGTTCTGAAAGGAATGACTAAACGTGCCTTCAGGGGAGGAAGACCCACCCCCGTGGTTGGGCACTCGGCGGCCTCAGGCTGTCCTTGCTCAGTGCTGTCAAGGTGTCCTGGCTTGTAGGGCGCCTCTGTTGGACTGCACCTTAGAGGGGTGGGAATGGAAAGACCAGCTCATCCAGTCGCCCGTTCCGGGGCTACCCCTGTGCTGGGCTGAGACGCCTGCCCCAGCCCTCGGGAGCCAGCGCTGCAGCGGGAGGGCGATGCGGGTGACAGGTGCACGGGGAGAGGCAGGGAGGCTTCCCCATGTGCTTCCCCAGCTGCACCACGGAGCAGCGGAGGGCGGCCCCTGGAGGGCCGTGAGCCGTAGGGACAAGGCACCGCTGCGTTCCTGAATCTCTGAGTGCCAGGCAGGGAGCAGTGGGAGACAAGGCCCAGGACAGAAGGGACCTGAAGGCCAGGCAGGGTGGTGGGAGCCACCAGAGGGCTTTGAGCATGGGGAGGAGATGGCCTGCCCGTGCTGGGTCCTAAGGAGGTCAGCCTGACCGCAGTGGGGCGGGGCTGCAGCGCGGAGACCCGAGGACGGCGTAGCTGTGGTTCAGCCAGGGGGAGTGGGGCAAGTGCTGGTTTGGGGAGGCGGTGCCGGAGCAGGGGCTGCCGCGTCGGGGACTTGAGAAGACAGCAGCCGGCCTTGCCAGTTGTGGGGAGGGAGGGAAGAAGTGGCCGGCAGGCTTCGGGCTCAGCTGTCTGGTGGACAGTAGTGTCTCCATTTGGGACAGGGACCCTGGGAGGGGGCATAGGTTTGGGGTGATGGTGATGACTTTAGACGTGGCCTGGCTGGATGCTGTGGACACACATGTCTGCAGGCTCAGCAGAGACCTGGCTGAGCATGGGCTGGGGAAATCTGCCCGCCAGGCCACTGAAGCTTAGGCAGAAGAGGAAGGAGTATGTGGCCGGCAGTGAGGGAAAGGGGAGTGAGGGCCTCAGGCCATCCCAGGGCCTGTGAGAAAAGGTCCGGAAAGGATCCCTGGACTTGGCCATAAGGATCAGGGCCCTGAGTCATTGCAGATTGGTGGGCTGGTGGGGTTAGTGATGTGGGAACTGGCCACAGTGGGTGAAGAGGGTCCAGCGCTGAGGTGGGGTGTTTCAGAGAAGGGCCTCGCTGCCTGGGCCTGCCTGGGCCCTGGGTTGCTCACCCCGTCTGCTCTCTCCAGGTTTGGCAGCAAAGAGGAGTACATGTCATTCATGAACCAGTTCCTGGAGCACGAGTGGACCAACATGCAGCGCTTCCTGCTGGAGATCTCCAACCCCGAGACCATCTCCAACACAGCCGGCTTCGAGGGCTACATCGACCTGGGCCGGGAGCTGTCCAGCCTGCACTCGCTGCTCTGGGAGGCTGTCAGCCAGCTGGAGCAGGTGCCCGTCCCATGGGGCAGGGTGCGGGCAAAGGGTCCTCCTGTGGTGCGGGTCAGCAGCCTGCCCAGGTGCTGGAGACCAGGGTTCCAGTCCAGGCCCTGCCAGCACACACCAGGGTCTCTGGGCCCCGTTTCTTTGGGGAGTGCCACATTCCCGTGCTAGCACCTGCTGGCTGGGAGCCCACTCTGGGTGCTGGGACCTTGTCTGTCTCCTGGCACTCAGCACTGAGTGGGTGGACTCCACGTATGAAGGTGTGTTCCCTACCTGTGAGGAACGTGATCAGATTCAGCTTTTTCTCTGAAAGTTCTGGGTTTTAAGAGCACTGAGAATGCTGTTCCTTCCTGTGTCAGGCAGAAAGTTATAAACTTTTTCACAATTGCCCTTGACCATCAGTTGAGTTATTCCTTAGGCACCTCGGACATTGCTGCTGCCACCTGGCGTGTGCCCTCGGTGGCCGGGGGCTCCACTCCCTGCCGCCAGCAGCCCCGGCCCACACCATGGCCAGGTTCTTGGCAGCAGGGGCCTGCCACAGTCACCTCCAGGGTAGTCACTGTTCTCAGGGGCTGAGAGACCACCTTACGAAGGGAGCTACTGCTGATCAGGGCTGGGAGGGGACCACACACACAGGGCACTCTGGGGTGCACCTTCGGGATACACCTGTGTGTGTGAAGTGCACACACAGAAGCACAGAGCTTTTTCGTTTCGTGTTGAAGTGAGGGCGTACGTGTGCCTGCAGTGAGCGTTTCCCGTGTACTGTGTGTGGGTGTTTTTCCTCCAGCCTGTGCTGCTCCGCCGCTGTGACCTTTCTAACGGCCACCGACTCGTATCCCGGCCTGTGCCTGCCGTTTCACTCACTGGCCCCCTGTTGCTGGACACCGGGTTGGTCCAGCTTTTCACCACCAGCACATGCTGTTGCAGTCATTCTGCTCATTTATGTCCGCTGCCGTTTGGCTGTGAGATACATGGGGAGGGCGGAGGGGATGGAAACCAGGGCCACAGCCCTCTCTCCCTCCTCTGCTCCGGCACCAGTCACTCTGGTGCCTCTGCTTACGGAGCCCCGTGTGGGCACCATCCTCGTATCTTCACGTGGTCATAGTGTCACAGCTGACAGTGTTACAGCAAGAGTTTGGGGTTGAACTCTGCCTCCCAACACGAGTTTTCACACTTTCTTTTGTACAAAATCCCGGCTGGAAGCCAGTGCCTAAGCAGGTGAAGGCAGTCTCCTTCCCCGGAGTCCTTAGCACCGTCTGTCTGAACCATGACTGGGCGTGAGCTGGGCTCAGGTGCTGCCCTGCGCCTGACCATCCAGGTGTTAATCTGACAGGCACAAGGTGGGGCCTGCTCTGTGCCTGGGTCAGGCCCCAGCCCCTATGGAGTACCTGATGTGGAGCGGCTGTCCCAGAATCCGCTATGTTGGGGAGTGTGGGTGTGAGATTCTGGGCTCCACATGGGCTTTCCTCTCTGTCAGGCGCCAGGGTAGACCGAACTAGGGTCAAAGGCTTGGACTAGGTCAGCGTTTCTCCCTCTGGGCCTCACACCTTGCACCTCATCCCAGAAGTATTTGGGGGAGCTGGTAAATGTCTAATTTGCACATTTCCGCCCCCACCCCCTCCTCAGACCTGCTGCATCTGACTGGTGGTGGGCGGGTCTGCATCTCTGCCTGGCTCCTGGTGTTGGGAAGCACACGGGGCCTCCCTGGGCTGCCCCAGCAGCTCACACCTGCCTCTCCCTGTGTCTTCGCAGGGCATCGTATCCAAACTGGGTCCCCTGCCTCGGATCCTGAGGGACGTCCACACAGCGCTGAGCACCCCGGGCAGCGGGCAGCTCCCAGGGACAAACGACCTGGCCTCCACGCCTGGCTCCGGGGGCAGCAGCATCTCGGCCGGGCTGCAGAAGATGGCGATCGAGAGTGATCTCTCTGGGTGAGTGCTGCAGGTGTGCTGGGCGCGGTGGGTGCGCATGCAGACAGCACAGCTGGGCAGGAGCATGCCGCCCAGGTGTTGGTAAAACGGGCTGGGTGAGAATTGAGATGTGCTCTGCAGGCCCTAAGAGGTGGCCCTCCATTTGGGAAATACCAGGAAGGCTGCCTGGGTGAGGTGGTGCTGTAGTTTTGAGCTTCTCAGGAAACATTCCCGTTGGTGGGAAGGCATTCCAGGTAGACTAACAGAAAGGCCTGGAGAAAGACAACTGCTCTGTTGAAGAACAGTTACCGGTCCCAGATACCTCCAGATCGTCCAGGTGTGTTAAACCCATTCTCCCGGTATGTCCTGGGCCCAGTCAGACTCTCCAGACGCGGTGTGCAGGGCGTGTGTGTTCAGCAGGAGCTGGGGTGACTGTAAGGCTGTGAGGCTGGGTGCCCCCAAAAAACGAGGGGGTTGAGGCCCAACCCTCACTCTTAGCCCTCAGCCCTGGACATATGCCTTGTAAATAAAATACACGCTCAGTGGAGAGGGAGGCAAATGAGCTCTAATGTTGATGGAAAAGGAGGGTATTCCTTTAAAATGGAGGCGTTTCTATCGACCCATGTGTGCTTTGCTTGAACACGCCCTCCCTCCAGGGCCGCCTGGGCCAGCTAGTGAGGACGAGGCTGGGCCAGCAGAGTTGGGAGTCAGGTCTCGTCTGAAGGTGGTGGCAGCGCAGGCTTTTAAGTGGATGGGGGTGTGGAGAGCAAGGACTTGAGGGATGTGGGGTGTAGCACTGGAGGCCCAGGAAGAGGCCGGATGCCACTTCCCACGTCCCTGTGGTCTTGGGGTTCATTCATATAACCTGCCAGGTGAGGCAAGTCTTCGTGCAGGACCCACTCTGGCTGAGACAGCCAGGCCCATGTAGGTTTGGAGGAGACCTGACCAGGTGTGTGGCTGGTCTGGATGTCTCCTGGCTCCACTTGCTGCCTTTGTCCACTTCTAAGTGGCCCTAGGTGGTCACAGCCTGCCCCTCCTGAGCTTCATCAGTGGGGGCTTGGCGTTGCCTCTCTGTCCAAGCCCGCGTGAAACCAGAGTCCTTGCTGCCTCCTGCCCACTCAGAGCTCTTTCCTCCCCGCGTTTTTCTCTCCAAAGCCCGGTTGGCCCCAGCACTTTGTGCCATCTTCCAAAGAGCAGAATTCGGAGAGGCCACGGCCTGCCACCAGACCCTCATGCTCAAGTCACGCCTCAAGGATCCTCCTCGGAGTCCTTGTTTTTGGCAGGAACGCCAGCCCCCGCCTGCCAGTCAGTCGGGGGGTGTGGCAGGGGAGGCTCCATCCCGTCCCCACTTTGGATCTCAGTCTGATGAGGAGCAAGAAGGAAGAGGCAGAGGGAGCCCCAGTGGCTGTGAAGTCGGCTTTCTCTGTGCAGGACCCTGGGACAGCAGAGCCACTGCGTGTGGGTTTGGGTTTAGCGACGGGGAAACTTCCAGAACACCTCAGGCCTCAGAGCAGGGAGGGGGCCTGCAGGCAGGCGGGCCTGGCATCAGCAGTGCTGGCCCCAGCCAGGCTCCAGACGGAGCTGCTGCCTCCGCCGGCCCGTCCCCAGGGCCATCCCTCGGGGTCAGCTGCCCAGGCTGTGGGCTGTGCATCTGGGCAGTGGTCCCTGGGGCTCTCCACTCTTGCTGCCCTGGCACTTCCCTCCCCCAGCCTGGCTCAGGCCGCAGGCCCGGCAGATGGGCAGGGGCTCTGGGTGTGGACCCGCCTTGGCCGCATTCACAGTTCTTCTCTTCCCCCTTCTTTCCCTGTGTGTGCTTGTCTCCCTGCAGTCTGGTAGATTTCACCCGGTTACCGTCTCCAACCCCCGAAAACAAGGACTTGTTTTTTGTCACAAGGTCCTCCGGGGTCCAGCCCTCACCTGCCCGCAGCTCGAGCTACTCAGAAGCGAACGAGCCCGACCTTCAGATGGCCAACGGCGGCAAGAGCCTGTCCATGGTGGACCTCCAAGACACCCGCACGCTGGACGGGGAGGCGAGCTCCCCGGCGGGCCCCGACGCCCTCGCCAACGACGGGCAGACGCCTGCAACTCAGCTGGTGGCTGGGTGGCCAACCCGGGCAGCCCCCGTGAGCCTGGCAGGGCTGGCCACCGTGCGGCGGGCAGGCCAGACGCCGACCACACCGGGCACCTCGGAGGGCGCACCAGGCCGGCCCCAGCTGTTGGCACCACTCTCTTTCCAGAACCCTGTATACCAGATGGCGGCCGGCCTGCCTCTGTCACCCCGTGGCCTTGGCGACTCAGGCTCTGAGGGCCACAGCTCCCTGAGCTCCCACAGCAACAGCGAGGAGCTGGCGGCCACCGCCAAGCTGGGGAGTTTCAGCAGCGCCGCTGAGGAGCTCGGACGACGGCCGGGGGAGCTGGCGCGGCGGCAGATGTCGCTGACTGAAAAGGGCGGGCAGCCCACAGTGCCGCGGCAGGCCAGTGCTGGCCCCCAGCGCCGGATCGACCAGCCGCCACCCCCGCCCCCACCGCCACCTCCTGCCCCCCGTGGCCGAACACCACCCACCCTGCTGAGCACCCTGCAGTACCCTCGGCCCTCGAGCGGGACCCTGGCATCGGCCTCGCCGGATTGGGCGGGCCCTGGGGCCCGGCTGCGGCAGCAGTCCTCCTCCTCCAAGGGCGACAGCCCCGAGCTGAAGCCGCGGGCGGCACACAAGCAGGTCAGTGCGCTGGGGCCGGGCGGGCCGCCAGGGTGGTCACCCCACGTCATGCTGCTCCTCGGTCATTTCATCCCCTCACCCAGCTGCCATCCCATGCTAAATGATGCCACATTTGGCCCCGACCACCACCCACCATACACCCCCCCCCCGGCCCTGCTGGCCCCTTCAGCCCTGTGAGCAGGGACACTGCAGCCTTAGGGTGCCTCGGCCAGTCTCCCTGAGACAGCTGGGGTCAGGGAGCAAGGGAAGGGTCAGTCCATCTCCAGTCCAAGCCTGTTAAAGCCCTACCCAGGGCAGGAGTTGACCCGTCCCCCACAGGCCCTCCCTGCTCTGAGCTGGCCTCTGGGCTCAGCTGCCAGGGTACATGGGTGTTTCCTGTCACCCAGGGTCTGCACACAGCACATGGAACCGAGTGCTTTGGGTAGAGCGCCTGGTCCCTCCGGCCAGCTCGGCCATTGTCCCTGGGCTGCAGAGAGCCGCTCAGGAGGCCGTCTGGGCACTTGACTCTGGCTCAGGCTGCTGCCTGGCTTCCTTGACCGGGGGCTGCCGAGCAGTAGGTGCTGGGTCAGCTGAAGGTCCTTTCCCTTCCTGCCGTGCCTCTGAGCCACGTCCGGGCGTACAGGGTGCCCCTCCCCCACCTCCCTCCCCCTGCCGTCCTCCAGCCCTCACAGCTGTGTTTCATTGTAGGGCCCTTCACCCGTGAGCCCTAATGCCCTGGACCGCACAGCTGCTTGGCTCTTGACCATGAACGCGCAGTTGTTAGAAGACGAGGGCCTGGGCCCAGACCCCCCCCACAGGGATAGGCTAAGGAGTAAGGAGGAGCTCAGCCAAGCAGAAAAGGTAACGCTGGACCCTGGCCGTTCGGGACAGGGCGGGGCTGCGTCCCTCGGCAGCTGGCAGGATTCTCCCCGTGAGTCCTGAGTGAGGGGCACGCTCGGGCCTGCACGGGGCCGGTTCCCTCCCACCCCGGGTTTCCGTGAGGCAGCGGTCACTGCAGTCTGGAAGAAGAGCAGCCGGAGGGATGAAGCTTAGACCTGAGGTTTCCCACACGGGCTGCACAGGAGACAGCTGGGGCCTGGTCCAGGGTGCCAAAGAGGTCCATGGAGACCCTTGAGGAGGGAGCCTCACGATGAGGAGGTGGAGTGTGGGTCCCCGAGACAGCGGGGAGAGCTCCTGCAGCCAGGCCCCCTCCTCGCTGGGCTTGTGCCTGCTCAGGGCCTGGGAGAGGAAGAGCCAGGGTGAGGGTTAGGGTCAGGTTGCTGCTGAGCTGTTTTCTTCCGCCCACCGCATTCATTCAGCACTTGGTGGGCAGTGGCTGCTTCTGTCCCATCTCCCAGTGGTGGTGGCAGCTGCCCTGGATCTGCCAGTGCCGGGCCAGGGCAAGGCCCCCGGACAGCAGTCCCTCCCCCACTCACCTCTGGTGCTGTCGCCCCACTTGGCCCCAGGAGAGCCTGTAGCAGCCTCTCGGGCAAGGGCTCGAGGCCAGGTGGCCGGTCTCCCTCTCCCTGGCCTAGGGCGAGGTCCATGTCCACGCTGCATTCTGCCACTCTCCACCATCCCCTCGGTCCGCCGCATCCGCTTGCTTTCACCATAACTATCTGAAGGGGACCAGGGACATGGGGTGCAGCACTCCGAGAGCCAGAGCTTGGCTGGGGAGCAAGGAGGGCCGGCCTCACCCCAGGCTCAGTGCCTTTCTGAGGCTCAGGTGCCATTTGTGAATCGCAAGGCTCGCCTGACGATTGTAAGAGCCAGGCTGCAGCTGGGGTGCTCCTTCCTCGCTGGCCTGGCTGAGTGAGCGGCTGCTCCTCCCACCTCTTTGCTGCTAACCTCACAGGCAAACCCAGGAGGCCTTCGCTCCCTGAGCTCCCTGGAGCCCTGCCTCTGCAGGCCCTTCCCTCACTCCTCTGGCCAGCCGAGCAGGAGACCTGGGCTGGGCCAGGGCCATCCCCAGAGCCAGGCTCCCCTGTGGGTCCGGCTTTGCTTCAGGGATTACATTGGAGGTGGGGCTGGATCTCCGGCCCTGCTGCCTCCTGACCTTGGGACAGTCCTTTACTGTTGAGTTGGGCTCCTGTTGCCCAGGATGCAAGGAGAGGCTCTTCCTGCACCCTACTCCTGCCCCCTTTCCCCATCAAGCCCCTGATTCTGGTATCAGCCCTGCCTCACAGTCTGTCCAGCCCGGGCAGCCCCAGCTTGCTGCTTCTCTTGCTGCCTAACACATCCTCGTCTTCCCCAAAGGCTGAGCGTGCCGGGCAGAGTCAGATCCAGAAAGCTGGAGCACCTGGCCCTTAACCTCCCTCCTCCCACCTCCCCCGCCACCACCCTGGCTTTAGGGTCAGATAGAGGCTGGGAGGCTAGGATCTCACCCTGCCCGTCAGTCACTGTAGTCTCCATAGGACTGGGTTGCCTCGCCTTTGGGGTCTTGGTTTCCCCTCTGTAGAGCCCCCATTTCACAGGGCACCGTCAGATCTCCGTAACATATTCATGTTTCAACCTTAGTCTGTTATAAAATGCTGAGGTCCTTAGCTAAACCCTTACTTTTTTGAGTGTTCGTCCCCCTCATAGCTATAAGGTCAGGTGGGGGGCGGGAGCTTGGAGTGGCGGGAGCCCCAGATGGGGGCTGTGAGAAGGGAGCTGGGGTGGCGACAGTCCCCGGGGCATCCCGACCTGGGCTCCCTCCCTCCCTGTGCTCCTGCCCAGGCTCATGAGGCTGTGCTCTGCCCTGGGTGTTGTGCCTGTGGCACGTTGCCCTCCTGGCAGGACCTGGCAGTGCTGCAGGACAAGCTGCGAATCTCTACCAAGAAGCTGGAGGAGTATGAGACCCTATTCAAGTGCCAAGAGGAGACAACGCAGAAGCTGGTGCTGGAGTACCAGGCGCGTCTGGAGGAGGGTGAGGAGCGGCTGCGGCGGCAGCAGGAGGACAAGGACATCCAGATGAAGGGCATCATCAGCAGGTGAGGGCGTCCTGCCCCACACTGCCCCCCGGAGGCTCCTGGGAGGGGAGTGTGGAGACGGGCAGGGAGTGTCCGGGCGGTGGGCTGGCGTGTCGGGGCCCCAGTAGTGTGCTGACGGGAGCATGCAGAGCTGGGCCCGGCAGCAGAGGTCAGCCTAGGCCAGCTCACGAAGGGCCCGCGGACCCTGTAGGGCTCACATTTTCATGGTAAGCTCTCAGGGAAGTTTAGAAGCCGAACCGGGGTGCCAAGAAACACAAGGACCCGATTCAGGGCAGGAAAAATAGGAATGAATGTCAGTTACTTTCTGTGGCTGAAGGTGGGAGGTGAGAGGGAGGAAGGAGACAGAATAATCCCTAGGCTGCTGGGTGTGTCAGCGTGCTCATGACTGAGGTGGGGAACTTGGGAAGAGAACCGTTTGGGTGGGGAGCAAGAGGGATGATGAGGTGCTTTGCACGTGTTGAGTTTTAAGGTGCCTGTGGGTCATACCGGAAGATTTCCAGGGGGCTATTGGTTTTAATGCTTACTCTCATCTTTGTTCAAGCTTTATATCAAATTCTGTGTTAATTCCCTCCCTCTCTCTCCCTGCTCTTGGGTAGGGACACACCTCCTTTGTGTCTGTAGGCAGGGAGTGCAGGCCAGCTGTAGCATCCAGGCCACCCCACAGGTCCCATTCCTGGAGTTTACTTTCTTGACACTGATACCAGGTACAAGAGTCTTGTCACCTGGACAGTTTTCGCAGGTGTGCAGTAGCGGACGTTCCCTGACCTGGCCTCATGACTTGTTCACGGCAAAACCCTCCCCAAATCCCTCCTATTTAGACTGCCTGTTTTTCTGCTCCTGATGTGTACCTCGTTCACCTGTGGGTCTGCTCACTGTAAAATTTTCAGCGTGGACAGAGGGCCTCTAACCGGGGCCCCTGGAAACCCGCTGTCCCTTGCCTGCCAGCTCGCTCTCGGCCTTCCCCGTGTGTCACAGGCACAGAGACCCTCTGCACCCAGCCCCTCCTCTTGTGTCTGCTTTCCGAGAGGGGCTGCTGTCGGTGGCTTATTTAACACGTTCACTTCTACAAGCAGTCCTGGCCTGTTCCCTCCCTATGTCAATGTCAGCGAGATCACTGCGGTTGATAGTGTTATTCAAGTCTTCCGTGTCCTCTCCGCTCTCCTACTTGTCAGTTACTGAGAAGAGGACATTGAAGCTCCTCATCATCATTAAAGATTTGTCTATTTCTCCTTTTATTTCTATGGTTTTGTGTTTTATGTACACGGAGACTCTACTCTTAGATGCATGCACAGTGAGGACTGTTATGTACTGTTGAACAGACCTGTGTTACAAAGTTATCATCCTTAGTTCTCAGAACATTCCTTGCTCTGAAATCTCGTTTGAAAGTAGTAGAGCTGCCCCAACTTTCTTTTAATTAATGTTAGCCTGGTATATCCTTCCCCTTCCTTACACTTTTAACCCATCTGTGTGTCTCTGTAGAAAGGGGGCTTCTTTTGCAGACACCTTATTTTTGGTTCTTACTTTTTATCTGATAGTTTCTGCCTTTTAGTTTTGGAGTGTCTTAGACCCCTTACGTTTAATGTAATGTCAATATAATTATGTTTAAACCTACCATCTTACTATTTAGGACTGTCTGTTTTATTCCCTTTTTCCTGCCCTCTTTTGTATTGAGTATTTTTTATGCTTCCATTTTATCTCTGTTGGCTTATTAGCTAATCTCTTTGTTCTTGCTTTAGGGCAGGGGTTAGAAGCTTCCTGGAAAGGAGCAGATAATAAATATTTTCAAGTTTGCAGGCCATATGGTGTCTGTTGCAACTATTCAACTCTGCTGTAGAAGCTGAACTATTTGTGTGGTGTGACTGTTTACAAACACAGGCAGTAGACTGCTTCAGCCCCCCTCCCCCCCCCCCCGGCTGACCAGCAGGCACTGCGTCCTTGTCTTTGTTTCTCCGCACGGAGGGTACGTTTTTCCTCCGGCTGTTGGTAAGATTTATTTGCTTATCGCTAATTGCCAACAGTTTTATGATGTGCCTTGGTGTGGTTTTCTGCGTGTTTCTTGGCTTTGTTGAGCTCTTCGGTCTGTGGGTACATAGGCCTGCCTCCCCATCTGTTTTCTGGGATTCCCGTTGCACATGGTGGGCTACTTCCTACGGCCCACATCCCACGGATGCTCTGTTGTTTCCTTTCTTCTGTGTCTTATTTTAGATCGCTTCTGTTGCTATATCTTCAAGTTCTCTCGTCATTTCTTATTCAGTGTCTAATCTGCTATTAATTCTATTCAGTTTTCTGGGTGGTTTTTTTTTTCATATCAGATACAGCGTTTTTGCTTCTAGACTTTGGTTTCACCCCCATGCACTTCTTCTTCGGCTCATGCTTTCCTCTGTTTTCCAGAACATGGGAAATACATTTATAATGGTGGTTTTAATGTCCTTGCCTACTAATTCTACCATCTGACATTTTCCAGTCTGTTTTTATTGATTGATTTTCTTCCTGGTTATGGGTGATATTCTTCTGCTTCTCTGTATGCTTGGTTGGACGCCAGACATTGTGTATTTTTTGTAACTGCTGTATGTTTTGTGTTCCTTTAAGTATTTTGGCTTTGTTCTGGGACAATGAGGTTATTTGGAATCACTTTTGATTCTTTTGAGGCGTGTGTTAAACACCGTCGGTGGGTCCCGGAGAGCCTGTAATCTAGGCCTGGCCCGGCCCCACGGGGACCCCACTGGAGGCCTCTGGTGTCAGTGTCTGTCCACTGTGCTCGGGAGGGACATGAACTATTCCCTGGGTGGTTTTGTGAGCTCTCCAATGGTTCTTGCCCTGGCCTGTGTGTTTTCACAGGCTTGCAGACCATTCCTCAGCCAGAGACCCAAGGGGACCCCTCAGGAGACAGATGGGGTGCTCTGAGGGTCCCTGCCGCCTCACCTCCCCCCCTGCGTCCCCTCGACCCTGCTCTGCTCACGTCCCTCCTTTCGCTCAGCCCGGACACTGCAGGCACCGAGTGGGGCTTGGGTGTTTTCTTCTAGGGGCCACTGTACTGTGCTGCCCCTTGTTTAGTACCTGGAAACCGTTGTCTCATCGGTGTTTTGTCTGGTTTTCTAGTTTTTGTTTTGTTTGTTGTACTTTTCTGATGCCAGACCCGTTACTCTGCCAGAGCTAGACACGGAAGTCTCTCCCCCAGTACGTTTCCCTTCTGATGATACATCCCTGCCCTCTTCCTCCAGCCCAGCCCTCAGAGGCTTTGCTCCAGACTGCCTTCCTGTGACAAGGAAGCCCCCTTGGTGGCCCCACACTCCTGCCTCCTGCTCAGTGCTCCCAACAAGTTGATTCTTGCAACAGCCCCGTGTGGTGCCTGCCCAGCGCCGTGGGCCTCCCTGGGCGTCCGTGCGGTGGCCATGCTCGCCCGGGGGGGGGGGCTGCTCTGCTGGGCTGGAGAACTGTGCACAGAGGCGGGAATGCAGCCGCGGGAGCACGTAGCTCGTCTGAGAAATGTGTATAGTGAGCAGAGCGGGGCTGAGGCAGCCCTGTGGGGTCCTGCCATCCTAGGGCGGTCAGGACATGGCCTCTGCCAGCAGTGGCTGGGAGCTCGCAGGCCGCCTGAGAGTCCAGGCTCCAGAAGCTAAAGGGAGGGAGCTGGGAGGTGGGAGTGGTGGAGAGTGACTGACAGGTGTGGGAGAGACCAGCAGGATGAAGCCAGGAAGGGTCTCAGGAAAGGAGCATTTGGTGACCGACCCACACCCACCTGAGCTCTGAGCTTCTGCAGGTAGCATGCGTCCCGCCCGTCTCCCGCCTGCACTCCTTGCTTGTCCTTCAGTGCCCGGCTCAGTGTGTGCACCCCGCCCCGCCTTTCGGGAGAGCTGGTCAGCTCCTTCCTGCTCTGTCCCATGCTCCGAGCTGCCTGAGCAGAGCGCAGCTACTCTGTCTGCCTGTGTCCCTGCCGCCCTGTGAGTGCCTTCAGAGGACGGATGACCCTTCATTCATCTCGCTACCACGAGGGCCTGGCACGGCCTCAGTGAATGTGGGTCGGGGAGAAAACTCCAGAGCCTTCCCGGGTCTTTGTCTTCCCACCCAAACCGTGGTTCCCACGACTTTCTACAACCTGCCAGGCTATGGGGGATGGGGAGGATCTAACACCCACTCCCACCCTCCTGGAAGGACATAAGGAAGGGGGCAGCCCCAGGGGCTTCTAGGGATTTGGGAACAGAGTCAGGGTGGCAGAGAGGAAGGGAGGAGTCAGTCCAGCCCATGTCATGGCTGGGGGCCAGCTGGAGCGCCTCTGTCCCAGGCAAGTGTGGGGGGTCTGTGGCCCAAGGAGGGTGTCTCATACGTGTCTCTTCTGTGCAGGTGTGGTGACCTGTGCCCACAAGGCTGCACATGCACCTTGCCATCTGCTCCCTGAAGTGCCAGCCTGACTGTGCTTATGTCTGGTCACAGGTTGATGTCAGTGGAGGAGGAGCTGAAGAAGGACCACGCAGAGATGCAAGCAGCTGTGGACTCGAAGCAGAAGATCATCGATGCCCAGGTGGGGCTCTGGCCCTTTGATCAGCCGTAGGTGGTAAAGGACCTGGGATGAGCAGGGGGTGGGGTGGGGTGACTTTGGCTTCTCCATATCCTTTTATTCATACCCTACTGCAAGAAGTGTGGAGGAACAGGAGGCCAGGATCCCTGCCCCGAGAAGTCAGACTTGAGGGTCTCAGTGGACCACAAGCTCAGTAGGACAGGGTGGGACAGGGGTGGGACAGCTCCTCCCCTACTGGGGCAATGTGGTGGGTATTGCCTTTCACCAGGGGTGCTAATCAAAGAGTGGATCTTTTTGGGGAGATTGGGGAAGGCGGGGGTCCCGGGGAGTGGGAGGTTCAGAGCTGTGGCTTCCCAGCTGCATTGAGAAGAGAGACATGTTAGAGGCTCTGGCCCCAGTCCCTTCACCCAGGCCTATTTCCTTTTCCGCTCAAGCGCCCAGGAATAGGGCCAGGCCTGCTCAGACTGGAAACTGCACGTGTGACCAGGAGCTGTGACCCCTGCGTGTCACACAGGCACAGGCCCCTGCCCGGGGCCTCAGTGGCTGATGGATGACAGCACGAGAGCTGCTCTGTGGGGAATGGAGCTGGCGCTGTGGCAGAGGGTTAGGACGGCAGGCCCTGCCCCCTCGCACACGGGCCACCCCTGCCTCTCCTCCAGGCCGCCTTCCTCTGCCCCAGCGTTCTAGGCGCACACAGCCGTGGGGACCCTTCCCCCCGTGACCCACCTCACGCCCTCTGTGTCCACAGGAGAAACGCATCGCCTCCCTGGACGCCGCCAACGCCCGCCTCATGAGCGCCCTGACGCAGCTGAAAGAGAGGTACAGCATGCAGGCCCGTAACGGCATCTCCCCCACCAACCCCACCAAATTGCAGATTACCGAGAACGGCGAGTTCCGAAACAGCAGCAATTGCTAACCTGTCCAGGAGAGGGAGGACTGGTGCCCGGGCCGGCCTCGGCCTGGGGGCGCCCCACAGTGGCAGCCCCAGCACAGGGGCAAGAGGCCGAGGCTCGTCTCCCCGCGCCCTCTGCCCGGCGGCCACAGAGGGAGCCGAGAGAGACCGACGCGGCGGGAGCCCCCTCTTCTGCCCAAGAAGCTGGGTGCAGGCCGAAGAGACCGCGCGTGGGAGTGGGACAGCGGGGGGCAGGGCCGGCCACGTGCCTGTTGGTTGTCGCATTGGGTGTGTGCCACCTCTCCTCCACCCCGCAAGGGCATGTCCCCCGCTCCCCAGGGAGGGAGCTGCCTGGAGAGGTGGGGGTTACAGAGCTGGGCCCAGGCTCCCTGGCGGCCAGCCCCTCCCTGTGGCACCTGCCCCTGGGTTTCCGGAGCTGGGAGCTGGCAGGTCAGGGGCAGCCAGAGAGAGGGCGGGGAGGACGCAGCTGCCAGAGTCCCGTGTCCCCTGCCGTGTCCCCTGCCGGCGCTGAGTACCTGCCACTGCATGCAGCCTGCCGGGGCCCTGCCCGCTGTGAGGAACCGAGGACTCCCCGTACCTGTCCCCACATCCCCGCCTCCCCGCCTCCCGCCCTCACGTACTCTGCCAGAAGACCCAGCGAGGCCCCTCTCTCCTGGGCCCTCGCGCCCTCGCACCTGTGGGGAGCACCCAGGGCCTCCCTCACCTGCCACCTGGCCCCAGGCTGATGTCTGGAGCTCCCAAAGCCAAAGACCTGGGCAGAGCCAGCCGGGCGGCACTGCGTGCGGCCTGCCCCCCTGTGGCCCCGCAGGGAGCGGCCGCTGGTGCCCTCCCTGAGGGACAGGCTGAGCTCTCCTCCCTGAGGGTGAGAGTTCTAGTGCCCGCAGACCCTGAGAAGGTGGGTAACTGTGATTTTTCTTCCTTTCACAGTATGCATTAGAAACAAAGCCCGCTTGCTCGCTTGCTGGAACACAGGGGCCTTTTAAATTGAGCGTGCGCACTGCATGGGAAATAGCGGCCCTGGAGGATGCTAGACTTGCTTTCTCTCCAAGACAGCAGCGGCCTGCACCAGGCCCGTGTGCGGCCAGCCTCCTCCTCACCCTTCCCGGGCCCCCAGCCGAGGACCCAGGCGCTGCAGACAGGCGAGGGCACACCCCACAGCTGGGGCCGGTTCTCCTCAGCTCTAGGCTGTTCTGTAGCATTCCAGCCTCCCCACCCCACTTGTGGGATGTAGGTGGGCAGGAGCTTGGGTCTCCTTGCTCCCAGCGCCAACCCTGGGTACAAAGCTGGGGCGTTTGCCCCGCGGCAGAGCCAGGGCCGAACCAGGGCACCCCTCTGCCTCAGCTTCAGCCAGCTGAGGGCACCCTTGGAAAGAGCACTGAGCCCTTCCCGCCCCGGGTTCTGGAGAGATGCCACCAGGGCCGGGGTCACCGCAGATCCCACCGGGAGGGGGGTGGCCCAGACCACACTGGACCCCTGTCCGGCCGGCACTCAGGGTCGGGCTCTGAGATGAAACTCACAGTGCAGTCAGGCCAGAGACACGCTGGCGGGGCGAGGGCGGCCCCGTGGTCACAGACCTCAGGAAGGAGGGCCGTGGGGCCAAGGCCCTGACCCCGGTCTCACAGGCAGGGCCTGGCCCCAGTGATGTCCTCTGGTTCAGTTTTGTCCCCCACTGCCCAGTGAGCCCTCCCCTCCTCCCAACCCCACCCCTCTCCCACATAGAGCGACCTCGGACTGAGCACCTCTTAGCAATACAGGGGGAGGTTCCCAGGGCCCGGCGGCAGGTGCTGGAGGCCGGCGCAGTGGCCGGTGCTCACGGCCTTTGGCTGGGCTGTGAGCTCTCTGGCCGAGAACCTTATTTACCTAGTGCAAAAACTGTAAAAGTGTACAGACTCCGCAGATTTTTATCTGGATTGCAAGTCTGACCATTTTTGTAAATGTTCCTGGTGTTTGACTGTAATGTAACTATTTCACCTAATGGTTGTACATAGTCCTATAGTCCTGGTGCTGCCAAGGCCCACCCGGGACCGCTGCTCTCTGAGGGTTTGTATTTTATACTTTAATCTAGAGAACAGTATTGGGCAGGAGGAAGAGGTTTGGGATGGGGGTGTTGGGGTTTTCCCTGCCCGAGGCATTTACTTGTTCGCTTTGCAGTGCTGTCTGGGTGGGGTGGTGGGGACGTGCGTCCTGGCAGGGCTGGCAAAGGGGCTCTCACCTGGGCCGCGCAGACCAGTGTCTGGTGTTGGGCGCGGCCTGCAGACAGTGCCGGGGTGCAGAGGGCCCGCAGTGGGGGGGGGCAGTCCCTGCCCGGGGGACCGAGTTTCCAGGCTCAGACCTGCCGGAGAAAACCTTCTCCTCCTTTGCCGACACAGAGGCCTGACAGTTTTTGCTTAACTTTTACATTTAGGGTGAAGGAAACTGCCAAACTTCCTTTAAGTGAAGACTCTTTTTTCCAACTGCCCGATAAAGGGGTGGGCAGCCGAGGCCAGAGCTCCCACCCCCGAGCATCTGCCTCGATGCACCTCTGTCCCGCCCACCCCGTCCGTCTGCGAAGGCAGACTGTCCAGGGAAACAGCCCCTCTCTTTTCTACACACTCGGCTCCAGAGCCGCCCCGGCCCCGCCCCTCCTCGCCCCCTTTTGTAAGTATGTGAAAAGGACAACTGCAAACGCGGCGGGGGGTCCGGCCGGGCCTTCCGGCTGTGACTTCTAACTATGTGATAATGTACAGAGAACGGTGTTGGTGTTCTGAGACTGTGTGGCTGTGCAATTTCTGTACATTTGCAATTAGAAATATTAAAGATTTATTTAGCTATTTTAAGCCTGACTCGCCTCTCCATGCCGCTGTGTCTCAGGAGGTTTTCCAGTGTCACTCCTGAGTTACGGGCTGTTGTCCTTTATGAAGAGGCCCAGCTCTCGGTTCACCCTGGTGGCAGTTGTACACAGGGCAGCCCCCTCAAGCCGACGGCAGTGGTGGTCTGGGCACAGAGTGACCCGGGACTGCCCTGCTCTGGGCCGGGCCTGTCTGCTCCAGGCAGGCAGCCGATGCGCTGTAAGGCGTCCCCGGCTCAGCCAGCTCGGAAGTGAGGTCATTGCTGGTCCCACGGCCTCCTGGGAGAACGGCCCGCCCTTTCCCTGCCGCAGGTGCCAGCCCAGCCCAGCTCTGCTTCAGATGGTATCTCATCCGCTACGGCCTTCAGGAGGACAGGGCCCGGCAGGGGAAGAGGCTGGCCCAGGGTCACCAGCAAGTCCTGCCAAAGTTGTGCTGAACCTAAGCTTCCGTTGTCTGGAAGTTCTAACTCCTACGGCTCTCCCAAGCCCCACCCACCTGCAAGGCCCCACCCAGGGCCTCCACTGTGAACAACTGGCCCCCAAACTCCTTCAGCTGCACCTGTGCACAGAGCACCTTGCAGCCATGGGTCCTGGGACTCAGCAGGTCCCAGGCACCACACAAACCCCTAGGAGTCAGTGCACCCCCTCTGTACACAGGAGGAAACCGGTTCGGGGCAGGGGGGGGTCAAGTCCAGGCCCCACCCCAACTGAGCCTCAGCAGTGGCACATGGGCCAAGGTTCTACGGAGGGCAGGGGTGTGTCTGGTCAGGTCACCAGATGGACACCCTGGTCTGTCACCTGCACAGGTGTCTCTGGCTCCTGCCAGGGACTTGGGCCCCAGCTGTCCAGCATTTCCAGAGAGAGACCCCAGGACTGCTCCTGGCTTGTCTTTGAAGCCAATGGGAGGGCTGGTTCAGGGGTGGGGTGCCAGGGTGCAACAGAGCCACCAGCTGCTGCCCACCCTCACCAGCCTGGCCCCCCAGGGCCCTTGTCTGAGCCCCGGGCTAGCTCCAAACCCTTGAGGTTCTATTGGAGGGGGGCTGCATCCTGCTCCCCCAACCCATGCTTCTCACAGCTTAGCTATTAGGACATGTTGAGCCCCATCCCTGCCCCATACCGCCCTCTACCCAGCAGCCTGGGGGACCTCAGCCCCTGCCCTCGGCAGCTCTCAACCTCCAGCTCCTATGAGGACCTGTGCCTCTGCCACACCCTCCCCATCGTCTCCCACATTCCCAGGCTCCTTGCGTTTGCATTGCATCCACACCAAGCTTAGCCCTGTGTCCCCGTTCTTGGTCCCTTCCCAGCTCTGACTGCAGCAGCCCTGGGCCCATCCCATGGCCCCTGCTCCCAGGGCGGCCGAGCACCCCAGGACACAAACACTGCAGTTCCCCGAGGCCCTGGGGTGCCCACCAGCCCCCACCCCCTTCCGACCTGCTTCCCCATTCACCACACCAGGGGTGTTAAGGCAAACTTGGACCTCTTCTCAGACCTCTCAGCAGATGCACTTCTCCTACCCCTCTGGGAGATGCCCACAGTGACCCTCTGACTACTCCCTGACCCCCACCAGCCTGGCTACCCCAGCCTCCACCCTTGCAAGCACAGAAGAAGTGACTCCCCTCCACCCCCCAGGCAGCCCCTGACTGGGCCCTAGCCTCTCGCCCCTTGCTGCCTTAATTATTCCTAACTCCTGTGGCTCACCTGCTCCAGACTGGGTTTTCTTCCCTCCCCTCTTTAACCTGAACTGGTCCCGGGCATCTCCGCTTCCTCGCCCTCTGTTCCTTCCCCTGCCCACCACCATCTCATCACACCCATGGGCCTCAGAGCTGCACTGCTGTCCCCAGTCCCAAAGGTCAGGGACTGCCATCCCTCTGCTGGGCGGCCCCACACAATGTCGAATTCAAGGTAGTAGCAATGAATGGGAGAGAAATGATTTCGTGTGGACAGAGGCGTTGAAAGCAAAGTCGCTAAAGCTGCGAACCCCGAGTGGATCAGGAGCGCCAAGTAGGAAGCTGAGCCTGGAAATGCAAAGGACTCGACAGAAATACAATCGCGTGTCACACGAGCACGCCCCAGCAGTGGTTTATTACAGGTGAAGGAGACATGAGACCCCAGAGGGTTAAATAATTGATAAGGTTTAATAAGCAGGACACATCAGCCTCTTTTTTTTTTTATCCTCACCCGAGGACATTTTTGCATTCATCTTCAGATAGAGCCGGAGGGAGACGAAGAGAGGAGAGAAACATCAACGTGAGAGAGACACATCAAGTGGTCGCCACCCACACGACCCCAACTGGGGCTGGGGACAAACTGCAACCGAGGTACGAGCCCTTAGCGGGAACTGAACCTGGGACTTTCCGGTCCGCTGGCCGACTCTCTAACCACTGAGCCAAACCAGCCGGGGCTCAGCCTCTTGATCTAGAGAGCACACCTTCATTTCAAGTACACTCAGAGCGTTACCCCAAGTTGACTATATAATGAGATATGAGAACCTTGAAAGTTGGCCAAAGAAATAATTTGGGCTACATTCTGTGCCTTGAAGCAATAAAACTGGAGATCAATAATAAATGTTTAATCAGGTGGGAATAAAACCCTACCATCAGGAAGTTTAAAAATAAATATTGAATCAATAGAATTAGATATTTAAAACAAACTAGTTTCCTACTTAAAGTATATTGACCGCACACACTTACCTCTTTTCCTCCACAAACACCACCATACTGACAGGAAAGGACTAACAAGATTATTACCTATAAGGACAAAATTAACGTGGAAGGAGGTATCCGTCAATGAGACGACTTGAAAAGCTGTGGCAGACGGGAGCTGGGGCAGGAGGTGACTACAGTAGCAGAGCAGAGGGAGAGACGAACCGGAAATGAGCTGAGCAGCTCCCGGGACCCCCTCCCCGCCAGAGGCTCAGGGGCAGGAGGCCCAGCCTGGTCCGAGGCAGAGCCAGGGCACCAGGTTGAAAACGGCATAACCAGACCCCAGCCTCCTTCCCCTGCTCTGCACAGCCAGGAAACTTCTTTCTAAAATACGTTTTTATTTATTCCAGAGAGAGAGGAAGGGAGAGGGAGAGAGAAACATTAATCAGCCACCTCCCTCACGTCCCCTGCTGGGGCTCAAGCCCACAACCCAGGCAAGTGCCCTGACCAAGACTCGAACAGCCAACCTCTCAGTGAATTGGATGATGCCCAACCAACTGAGCCCCAGCAGCCAGGGCCACCAGGAAACTTCTTTACCCTTCATCTCTTTGTAAGGAGCTGGACATTTGTTCTCCGGAAGAATCGAACCACCTATGCTCTGGACTTGGGGACACCAGATAGATCAAAGGACTCCGTGAGGTCTGAGGGAACAGCAGATGGGAGTGGGTAAAGTGAGCCTCTGCCCCCCTCAACAGTGCCCACCTCGTGAGCGCCTTCACAGCTCCCAGAATGCCCAGAGCCAGGCATCTTTCCCAGTGACTGAGTGGAACATACTTGTTTGGAAAAACTGGCTTCGGAGAAAAGACCCACGGATACTCCCCCAATGCAGAGTGCATCACTGTCGCAGCATCCCATAATGACCCCTGCCGATCAGCATGTCCTGTGCGTGTGTACACACACGTGCAAAAAGCACAGAGAGCCAGGACCCCACCCTCAACTTTCCGCCCCAGACAGTTGAGGAAAGTGTCCAGCGAATAATAGAAAGTAGATGTGAATCTCCTCAGGCCTCTGCTTCATAGTGACAGCAAAACCCTCTATTTGCAAATACAACAGCTCAGAAAAAAGCAAACTTCCACCATGAAAGGGAAAGGCCGAATCAACCAGACCAAGAAAGGAAACAGGAACTAGAGATAATGGAGGAAAGAGAATAGCATTAAAAAAGTAATAACAACTGCAAACTATAATATCCTCAGGGAGATAAAACAAGAACAGGATGCTATGAAAAAGAAACCAAGATCGAGAAAGAGCTGAGTCTTCAATTTTTTTTTTTTTTTTTTAAATCCTCACCTGAGGACATTTTTCTTGTTCAGATAGAGTAGGAGGGAGAGAGAGAGAGAAACATCGAGGTGAAAGGGACACATCGAGTGGCTGCCACCCACACAACCCAACCAGGACCTGGGACAAACTGCAACCAAGTTACGTGCCCTTAGCAGGAACCGATCCCGGGTCTCCCTAGACCGCAGGTTGATGCTCTAACCGCTGAGCCAAAATGGCCAGGTCTTCAATTTTTTTTTACAAAAATAAAATATCCATTAGAAGTGCTGGAATACCAAATTT